CGCATAGTCGCATACTCATAAATGATGCAGTTTGGATATGCGATAATCTAATTACGCAACAGTTTTTCACATATCCTTAATGATGATGCGGTTGATCTGGCCTGGATATGCGATTAAAAAATATAAATTACTTTTATTTATTTTTTTTCACTACGCTATGCGAGAACAATGCGATCATCGCACTTTGTTCACAGTTCTGCGAATTTCCTTTCAATAATATTTTCCCTTCGAATATTGTCGCTGATTTTGCTGGGAAAACTCTGATCACGGACATTAATAGTTTAATTGTCCATGCAACATATTGTTTTGTTTTGACATATGAATCATGATTAAACAAACACGTACTTGACAGAAGAAAAAAATATTTATTATTACTGCAGTCAGTCCAACAAAATAAGCCAAACAACTTTTCATTACATGTCCAGTGGATTCTAAGGGTTGAGATCGATGACTTCCAAGTCTATCGCCGCTGCGTTGCGCTCGGTAAAAACCTCGTAACACTCACCATACCAAGGGAATCCTTCCGAACGGAAAAATGCCTGAGTGTCGGTCTCCTGTGTACTAAATTTAAATCTTTTTAGGTCACAAAAATGCATGCTTGAACAAACTAAAATAAAAAATCAGATGCAATTTACCTCCTCCCCCACATACACCCAGTACATGTGGTTAACCCTAGCAAAGCCTGTATCACGACATAAGAGGACGCCTGGAATCATCAGGAAAGCAGTAAATTCATCGAAATAATTTTTGAGTCGCTGAATCTTTTGCCGGACTTGAGAAATAGTAAACTCCCTCTTCAATGCATAACTCAGACATTGGTTCACGACTATTGAAATTTCTGCCCACAAGGAATTGAACACATGGCCTTTGTGTATGTCTGCCTTCTGATGAGACCATTTGAAAAACACTTGGTAGCAAATACGTTCCTCCTCCTCTGTCCAGTCCATGCCACGGAAGCGGATCGCGATCTTTTCATAGGGTGAAATCCTTTCCATTTTTT